AGTTTAGATTTTTTGAAAAAATTTCATTTGAAGTCGTTTTCCGTATTTATGAATATATGAACGTTTTAAGTGCTAAGTGCATCGTAATTGTAGGCATCAAGAAGTGAGGAAGCGTTGAAGTATTTCTTGAAATGTGTCCGATTTGCAATGGAGCTCACTTGTGAGAAGGGTACGGAAAAGGAACGTCGTAGCAACTGTATCCGAGTGGTGGCCTATGTCGCAGTTGTATTGGCAAAAGACGGAAAACTACAGCTGCTCGAAGCACTTGTTAAATTTTGCCAAGAGGTTACTATTTACTGAAATCTTATTTAACTCATTTAGCACCGATTAAAATGAATCAGTAATTTCCTGTAGAATTCAAGTCTCCCTAAGTGGTCTAATCATTTATGGTAATAATGGTTCTAGTAACCGCAATATGGCTAGGAAAATTAAATTACCATGAATGTATCAAATCAACTGATCGTGAGATATTTTTGCGATTTTGGTGCAAATTAAAACATTGGTAGGGAAATTGTTGAAACCTCACTTAAGAGACGTTATGGATGATGGTGATGGCAATGTTATTTGGGAATAATTGAGAGCGAAAGTACTAATTGTTTTGTTCAGCTTCACGATGTGACAGTGGTGGCTGCACGAACGCAGATATGTTTTCTGATTGGAATGCTATTCAATGCGGATTCGATCATGAATGAGCGGGCGTTCGAGGCCAGAGATTCGTTGCCAATCGATCAATCTGTAATCCCGTCTGATCTTAAGAATTCCCTCTACCAGATTCTACTCCAACGGCGTCTGGACTCGGTAAGAGCATATTGCTGTAATGTTACACTAGTAGTTGGTATCGGACTCCGAAGGATTAATCTGAGCTTACCTTACTTTGTTAGATCTGTAGTACCAATTATAATATTGATAAGATTAGTGGTTATGATAGTATCAGGCCACTGGAATGACAGTATGAAGCATCATTATATCAGTGATACTGTATATGATCAGTTTCTTTTTGGAGATTTCTTGTGATTTCAAAGAGATTTGCATGAACAGTTAGAATGTAAAAATTGTGCTCATCAATCTGGTTGCATTGAAGCATTTGTTTGCTTCTAGAGCGCAGCCGTCCGTGTCGAAGTGCTGAAAGGTGTATCGATGATACAGCATGATTGTTTGACTGAAACAAAAGGCGGCCA